CAGTCAGCGAAAGAAATTCTTGGATGGCCCGGCGTACTGCCAACAGTCCCACAGAGTGTACTGGACGTTATGGAGCAAATAAAGGGTGTGACATCGTTGAAAGAATCCCATAAGGAGTCGTACACGGGGAGAGGGTCGTATCCGGCTTATTACCATACCTGTTGCACATCTTGTCCCCAACTGCATCCTGAAAAATAAGCTCCTGTTTCCTGTTTAAAAAAAAGATTTTTCGAAAATTAGGACGGAATTAGAAGGATTTCGGAAAGTGGTAAGTAGGGTAGGCAGGATGAGGAAAGAGGGTCGTACTGGAAGACATCAACTGGGGAAGAGAGGGGAGCCTTATTTAACCCTTCTGCATGCTGTACTCTGTTCAGATAAGTGTCGTGACTCGGGTAGTTTAAACGGAAAACTCGGCCCTAAATATCACAGGGGTATATCGTTAGCCCTGAACTCCGCGCGCAAGTAACAAAATATTTCCTGGCTGGTTAACACAAGGCAGCACTACCACGTCAAATTGGTTGGGTCCCGGCGCAAATACTGCACATGTGGACCCTTGCGCGCTTCTTTCGCCGCGCTGGTTGAAACTCCTTAAAAAAATTAAAAACCACTCTTTGAGCGCCGTTTTGGCAACAACTCCACCAATTATAAACCTAAGAGGCTTTTTCTAATCCATAACCTATGTCTTGTTCAATAAGATCAAGCTGATACTTTGGGTATAGAGGATTCGTACAGATGAGAATAGAAATTGATTGACTCCATCCACCACCTTTTCTGGAGATGTTTGATGATTCCTTGATATTTCCAAACTATGAACGCGATTTTGGCCGAGAAAAATCACTCGATATTATATCGCTTCGTATCGTACTTTGTATCCTTTTACAGATTTTTTTTCATTATTTTGTATCAGATTTCCACTCGTAATCCTACTGACTTCTGAGTGTGCTTCCTGTCTACACGAGACCAATTGATGCAGAATCTGCGTTTTCATCCTCCAATACAAATGAACATAACAGTATGAGTCCCATACCAGTTGACCGACCCAGAAGGTAAGGAAGGCTTGGTTGGGTATACTTAAGTCCGGTCCCAGACTTTTTGATCACTGGATCGTGCGTGTGATAAAGGCGCCCACCTCCACATGTACTGCTATGTGGACCACTTCGCCACAAAAAATCTTAAAATGTGGCTTTAAAGGTTTGAAAAAGGAACGAAAATTGGAGGGTTTCAAAGAGGACAAGCAAGAGGAAAGGAATTTTGAGATAATAGCTGACACCAATGAAACACGTGCTGGTGTCGTCCCTTTGAAAAAGGGGTAGAAAAGAAAAATGACATGCAGAGCTAATCTATCGAACCATTTGGAACGTTTCCCGCAGAATGGCACACTTGGAGCTCATTCTGCACCAACTGAGACATCTATAATGCGATGCGTGCGGTGGCGGCACGTCGACAATGCACGAAGAAGTAAGTGCGGCTTCAAGGTACTAGAGCAGTGCGCTGTCAGCTGCCACTACAGTCCAGTAATCATAATTGTGCTTATATCTTGTGGAAACAACAAAAAAGTTCAGCTTATCATGAAAACAAACAAAAGAAGCGTAAAGCGCAAAATTAATCGTTCATTTTGGATTGGCCACATGACCATTTTATATGCAGAATTGTAGAAATACGTGGAAGGATATTCTCTTTGCACGTTCCGGACCGACGCTTATTTCACGCGACGTTCACAGTGACCACGGCGTTTCTCCAGGCAAGGCTGGCGTGACACACATGGTAGGTCACGCCAACTTCTAGCTAATTGTCCACAGGTTCATATTGTCGCTCCAGACAGGCTGGGGTTGAATATTGACTCCAAAAAGTTGCCTACTCTGTCAACCCATTGAAATTGGAAGTGCCTGTCAAAAGGAGTGCCAACTGGCACCGCAGTCACTCAGGTTCACGATAGCCTTGTCCGGAACAGGTGTCAAAGCCTAGTCAAGGTGCAGTTTCTATACAAGACCCCACGAAACCAGCTGGCTCTTCATTCAGGGTGCATGCAATTAAGGAGGGTATCTGACAAGCCAAACGTGTCATCCCGCGCTGGTGGGCATGGCAAGCGACGCCGCACCCGACGAACGTGATGTCCTACCGGTCCATTTGAAAAGGATTGGCAGAAGAATGAAGAATAGCGATATCGCCCATCACGGAATCTTGACTCTGCATGAATTCATACGAGTTTCGCTGCTCCAATCGAAAAACCGATGCACGTCCAGAGGTTGCCGCGCATCATCGCTCGACACGCTGCGCGCGGCGACGCGGCAAATAACGATTGTCTTGTCCGTTCTCTCGTTAGGGAGCGGCAGGCGGCGACTCTATACGTCACTTCTTGGATTGCCTGTCTTGCTTCATCTTGTCTTGCCCCGTCTTTTGGATCGTTAGAGATCCTGTTCGGTGAGAGGCTGCAGACAAGCAAACATGACGTGGCACAGTCGCCTCGTCGGTTGGTACCCCCGAAGCACCTCTGTCCCTTAGATCAAGATTTAAGCGCTTATAAGTGCAAGAGCACTCAATTCTTGACTGAAAAGTAAATCAAATCAACAAACTGAAGTCGAAACCCTGCACAAAAGCCAAGAATAACTGAGCACCCAAAACTTCAGACTATCACAATATCATACCGCAGCGAGATCGTTCGCGAGCGGATAGTGTCTCTAATGTAGATAGAAAGTAAAATATTTATTTGATACCTTGTACCGCTGATATTTTTCAAATACATGAGATTGTACCACGACAGACAAACTAGGAATGATACCCTAACTATAACAAGAGATCAAATAAGTTAGATTGTTCAAACGATACAAAGATGGAAGCAAAGAGATAGGTCATTAAGGCAATATACCTTGTTAGATGAGTTTCTAAATTGCACACGTCAACGTACGAAATGAAATGAGCATACTTACGGCTAGCAAAACATATGTATAGATACAGGAACAAGCAACTCTTCACAAATCTAACAATTTGCAGTATTATTCGCTGCGGATGCTGGGGCGCGTCAGAGGCATAGGTCTGGTTCCCTTCAACAATTGGCGGAAAAGAGGTTAGCGCTGGAGGCGGCACCAACCAATTCTCCACCAACTGTTGAAGGGAGCAAGCGACTAGGAATTGGTGGAGAACTGACTGACGCTACGCCAAACGCAGATCCTCTGGCACGCCCCAACATCCGCAGCAAACAAAACTAGAAGTTTACCGCGTATCGGTTGAACCGATTGGATATCGCAATGTACAACGAAGGTCTTGTGAAATTTACTTGGCAGAATGCTATAAGTGTTGATCATTGGCACTTTTGATTTCCTGCAAAAAAAAGATGCAAAGTGTACCAAACACGAGCACCTGACAAATTGGTCAATGGCACATAAGCAATTGAAGTCGCCTGTAAAAATTCCCCCCCCCCACCCCCAAAGTACAAGAACCACATTTGATATTAAAAGGTCACAGTGCTTGAAGTGGGGCGGGTTGTAGTGAACGCCTTAGTACAAATCAAATGCTAGGACTTCAATGACAAACTGTGCACTCTCCTCCGAGGACAGTCCTTGCAATGTGTGAGGTGAATGGAATCCGCAGCTGTAATACCGTGCCACTTTCTTCGCTCAAAGATGCGCGGAAACTAGACTGGAGATTAGTGATGTTGGTGCCGGCTCCACACACCGCCCACTCTTCCGCAGCGACACACCTACTCGGCGACAGAGATCAGAAATGAGAAGGGAGCAAAGAAGTAGTGCAATCGGCTATGATTGGGCGCCTCGCTGGCAGTGCGGCAGCGCGAGGCGGAGTGTGGAATCGGCACCCGTGGCACTACCCTCCAGCCTCGCTCCCGTGCACCTTTGACAGGAAAAGCACCACGCTACTGCAGCTGCGGGCCCATCCTCCCGAAGCATAGCAGGGACCAGAATCCACGGAAGCAGCTCATGGGTTCACATATAAAGCGCGGTTCTTGTGGTGAGCTTGTTGGCGCTGGACGATTCTCTAATGAAAAAAGTGCAGAAAAAACAAGGAATACCTTGTGCAGGAATGCGCCAACGAATTCTAATGAGGTGCTGGCTTTATGCTAGCACCTCATTAGAATTTTTATTTCTATAGCAGCCAAATCGGTGCATCCTAGATGACTTCCCGATTTCGATGAATCAGTAAACTTAATGCTCAAATTGCTAGTTATGTTATCGTACAAGAAGGAAGAACTAGGTGGAGCGTCAGGTAGTTGGGTGGAGCGTCAGACACGTCACGAGGCCCGTCAAGCTCGCCACGCTTCTATACGTGGAAAGGACCCTATTCATCGAATAATGATGATGTAAACATGACTTGCCTGTATGACTTCATACAATCGAAGGGCTGGTCCCAAATTAAGACCTAGTGAATCGATGCAGTCCTGCTGTGACATTGTCAGTAAATGAGCTCCATCGATGTGCTAAAATAAAAGAGATAATTTCCAGTACTCCGCAGTGAAAGGTGGCCACACTTTCAGGGTGTTCACCATGAAATCGTGAAACGAGCGGTGCACAAAAGCCTTTGCCGTTCTGCATACAGTCTTGTTCGTTACGATCGCTGAGGCGCTCCAGGGAGGGGGGGGGGCGGCTGGGGATGCAAGGCGTCAACCCTCCCTCACCAATTGTGGTCACCTGCCTCATTCCACAATTGAGCAGAACAAGCTGGCGCCGCGCCAAACCGCGCTCCCTGAAACGCCCCAACCCCCACTGCGAACCAGGCTGTAGATGGCTCATGGCGTCATACCCTAGTGACCGCGGCCTAAGTCCCCACCCTCTCTACGTCTGGACTCTTTTCAAGCCCCGTTTCTGCGACGGGGAAAGGCATTTTGCACTTTCGCTACTTCCCATCGATGGGTCGACCTATCTAGACAGCCTCTTCTCGAGTTGACAGGTTTTACCGTGATGGCTTGAGGACCTTGCTCCAACTTCACAACAGTTCACAGGTTTCGTCATACTGAGACTAGTGAATCGGAACTAGGAAAATAATGATAATACAAAATGCCCCCCCCCTTCCCCCGTCGCCTAACTGCGCCCTCTTTTCGCTTACCTCTCTCTGCAGAACATTCGTTACATCGGTCAAGTCCGGGAAGGTAGTTCGAAGGAATCGTATCAGTTGTCTCTCGTCCCACTCCATAGCGTCGCTGTCAAGACGAAGTGGACGTTGAGGTGACTGGAAACAAGAGATAAGATTGAAGGTTCCCTTGTAACTTCATCATTTTCAACCTACCGCATCACTATTTGCCAAACCATTGAAAGTGGTACTTGGCATCTCATCCGAACTACTACATTGTGGCCTCCTCTCCTCCATGTGACTCCTTCCGTTTGATATAAAGTCTGTGGTGTCAGCCGGTTGCAGTCTTGGCATATCATCTATCGACGATCTCGAAAAATCATCATCGGATGCCTATAAACGAGCCATTTATGGCTTGAAAATTCAGGCTCCACAACCAGTACAACACTAATTAGACAACAATTAGTTCCCTACATTAAGCTGGCCATAAAAGGCATCCTGAGACGCCTGCACCGCTTAAGGCTTTCGTGAGCTCTGTCTCGAAGAGATTGTTCGCGCAACCGTTCTAAGCGGTCATAACCGGTAAATGTGAAAAATTAGGAACTATGAGCCCAGGGCACAACCATCCCTTCTCCCCTCTCCTCGTTTCCCGTTCCCATTTCCACTTACCCCATGCCTAACCGACCGAAGCCTACCACTTTTCCGTTTTTTTTTCAGGGTTCCTCATCCCCCCCCCTCCCGAAAAATGGACGTTGAGCGGGGAGGAGAGGGAGCTTTACAGCGCACTTGAAAAAGGAAAGCCAAAGAAGTCAATGACCGAAACAAGATTTTCGATGCGCAAAACGATGCCTCCTTCCTTTGCTGGGTATCCCCAACATGTGATCGTTCAGAAGGGCCCTTCCCCTTAGCCGCCCCCGTCTCAAATACCGCTCCCCACCAGGAAGTCCGACGAGCCTAACTTCACCAATTTCTTTATGAATGTTGCCTCATTTAGCTGCAATATTGGGAAAACAAACTCGCCGGCTGAGGAAGATGAGACCTCACAAATGGCGTTCATGCAAGCTCCTTCAAACAAGTCAATAAGCTAAATACGCCCTCTTCCCCCTCAAGTACGACCCCATTGTAGGCTCTCCATCCATGCCGTGATTGCAAATAAGCACTTACATTTGTTATTCGGCCAGTCTGCTGATCAGTTCCTTTCGAAGGAGACAATGGTTGGGTCCGTCGACGTTTGGCTGTTCCAGTTTTCGTGGTGCGTTTTCTGAAAGATTACTGCAGTATCAATTCCAAGGTTCTTCTCCTCATTCAAGGCAGTGGGCACGATCGCGGCGGCGTGGAGGGGGGAGGGGGGAGAGACGCTGGCCGGTGTCGCCAGTGTCATCGGTGGATCTTCTGGGTGGGATGTGACTAAGCGCCCCCTCACAGCCCTTCCACCAATGACGCTGGCGAAAACCGCCCCTCCTCAGCAATGGTGCCCCTTGCCTTCAAGGATTGGCGACAACATTGCTCTCAGTGGGGGAAACTTGTTGAAGACAAGCAGCAAAAGAGTCTTCAAACGGGAAGAAACTGTCCATGATTGCTAGGTGCGCGGAGCTGGTAAACAAAGCTATCGGTGCTTCCTTCCTCATTCTCGTTCCTAATTCTTCACACAAGCGATCCGAGACAACCTTACAGCGATCCGGGACAACGTTTTAAAAGTTGCAACAATCTCTTACCTTCGCTTCTCGACACTGCTTAAATGAGCACCTTTTCGAACGAATTCCGCTGGGGAATCTGTCATCTGAAAATAATACATCCATACGTAACTTAGTTATTACTATTTACTATAGAAATATCTCCAACATTGCAAAAAATACGTGTTTAACCTTATGACGAGGCATTAAAAGGACTCCTTGTGCAAAAAAGGAATCACCGCGATGAAGATAAGCACTTTGCTAGCCTAAAAGGAGAAGGAACTCGAGGATGGGCAGGCAACTTGAATTATGGTAATTCCATTCAGACAACGGCAATCACGTTTGCAACTTTGTGCGATTTGCACAAGGAGTACCCCAAAGTGCCCTTAAAATTACCAGTGCAAAAAAAATTTAAAGAAATGCCAGTAACTACTATACCCTTCGACGTTCATCCAGGGGCAACTTCTTGCAGTTACATCTCTGTAAGTTTTCAAAGGAAAACAAATTGGGGGCAGCAACCGAGGGAGCGTAGGAGAACCTATAAGTAGCGTAGAACAGATCAAAACAAACTAAATGGAAACTCGTAAAATGTGACAGGGACCCGTGTTTGTTATGTCACTTTAATGAAATCTTACCCGGAGCCATCCAGAAGCCTGTCTTGCAGTTTTGCAAACTGGTACTCGCATGAGGACATGGTCAGGTGACGTTCGCCATTTAAATTTCACGTGCAGAACTGCAACGTCCTCATCATCCGTATTAAGCATAGACTGCATCTCCATACGATGTTCCACCGCCACACATTGATAAAGATCCTTGAAATCAAGTAATCAATTTTACTTCAGACAGACTTGTGCCCTATGAGACTCTTAGCAGGGCTGCAATACATCACATCCGAGGCGTGGGCATCACGCGCAAACTAGCAGAGTATTTCTTAGCTAGTTGATTTGACATGCCACGACAGTATCACGTCGGACAAATTAGGTCCCACTAATGACGTCATATAAACGTCCCCTTTCCTCTGCAACACCGCCCTCGTCGCGCATCTGATGTGCTGAGTTACATCTCAAAGTAGTGCGGGAGTTCCACGTTGCACTGACGCACAGAAATAGCACGCTGATAGATTAAATTAATTAGACCCTGGCTGCAAATGTGGCATGAGTGGCAACTTACAAAGCCGCATTAGCTGCATCGCGCAACTTGGATTCCCCACTATACCTCTTCCGAGTGCGGTGGTGAATCTCACAGCAGCTACCTCTTCCGAGTGCGGTGGTGAATCTCACAGCAGCTACCTCTTCCGAGTGCGGTGGTGAATCTCACAGCAGCTACTAGAATGTCAAAAGGCAGGCCCGCCGTCAATCTATGAATGCGGATACAAAGTGCTGCATTAAATACGCAAAGCAGATCTCTTCTGGAAATGTGGATCCAATAAACGAACTAGACCATGTTTAGAGATAATTTTGAGGAGTGGGATGTCGCTTGGGAGCCTCAATTGAAACGAGTTCAAACTAGCCAGTGTTTCCCAGTCAGGGCACGCCATTGCGTTGTGATCATTTCCTAAAAAATACGACCCCCCCTAATTCCATCTTCAAGTACGACCCCCCCCCACGTTACCTCTTCCCTAGATTTTTCCAACCTCCTACCACTTTGTCTATTTTTTCCCAAAAAGTTTCTGGTTTTTTTACAAAATTTTGCTGTCGAGCGGGGGGGGGTCGCAGTACCTACGTACGTCCCAAGCCGCCAGCATCTGCGCTGGTTGGTACATAACCTGACAATAACGTAGGAGAAAGGGGCGATGATAAGAGCTACGATCACCGCCCACAAGGACACCATGAATTTATAAACAATGGAAAGGACTTACGACTGACGATGAATAAACAGAGGAAAGTACATTCCCGGACTTTTCTGATTGCAGGAGCACAGTTGCTTGCAATTAGGGAAGCCCTATCTAGAAGTTACACCTTTCAAACACCTGCGTGAAAGCCCCATGCATGGCGCATTGCATATGTGATGCCAATTGGCGCCCAATGGCCTATTACCTGATATGCTTGACGAAAACATGTGTTTCAGAAGCATACCAAAGTCTTCGAGCCAACTGGAGGTTTCCTGGCCTCGGAGGGGTTGATTTTTCGGTGTCGTGGGGGGTGATTACAAAATGATCACAACGGGGAATTTTTTCGAATAGTAGGTCTAGGAAGGAAATTAAAACCTTGCTGGAAAGTAGAAATCTTCAAGCTTCTGGCGCAGTCCTTTTTTTACGAAAGGGTCGTGTATGAAGCTTGCCATGGACGTCCAAAGCGTAGCGACTCGCGGTTCGCAAAAATGATCACAGATGGATCACAAAGATGATCACAACGGGGAAAATCTCTGGAACCGGAACGTTTTTGAAATCGCTCAATTCAGGTGATAAGAGCCAACCTAGCTCTACTCATTCCCACTTACCCCTCTCCGATAGCTTCACTTCAACGAAGTTATGGGTGTTCAAATGAGGGGTACTTTTCACGTGTTTGGCTTGAAATTGGCTCCAAACCGTAAAATAGCGCGCACCAATGCGCTTGTATGAGCGCGCTGACCGCGAACAGCCAAAATTCAAAAGTAATCCATAGTTCCGGGGCCGTATGCTATACTCCCCCTCGAGGGGAGGGATCCCCTTCCCTGTATGCTACACTTCCCCCGAAGGCTTTGGGGGAGAGGCCACGCCTACCAAATTAGGGGGAGAGCTCCCCCAACAACACGTGTTGGGGAAGATATCCCCTGGAACAGTTTTTTAGCTTATTTCCTCATTTGTTTTGAACTTTTCTTTATTTCTTCATATTACAGAAACACTTCTAACCAATTCTGCCAATTTTTTTTTCATCTCATACTTTCTACACAGTGTTTGGAGAGCTATTCTATGCTATTGTCTGACCGCACTTTTACATTTTCAAAAATGATCACTTCTTCTTTCTTAGGATCTATTATAGCTTTTTATTCAACGTGATCGTTTTCTTTTCAATCTCAATAATATATATTTTATATTATATATGATAATAATAACATATATTTTATATATTGAATAGTATACACATTATATTATAAAAATAATAATGAAAGTCCTGTATTATATACAGCAATAATAATATATGTTGTATGAGTTCGCAGCGGATGCTATCCAAACCATGCCGAGGTCGCCTCTTTGAAAAAAAAACTCAAGCGCGCTTGTTCGAACCCTTTTCATTGGGGCGCTCCATTTCATTACAACAGCCCGGAGGTAAATTCAAAAGGCTCATTCTACTACGGTGAGCATCGTTACAACGATGAACTTCATTCATTGTAGTACAATATTGGAGTCATTCGGTGATGACCAATAACTAATAAGTTATCGAGTAGCAGTTAAGAGAATCCGTTCAACTAATTCTTACTGGTTTCACAAAGTCCTCTGAAACAAATATGGATGTACTAAATAAGGTAGAGAACTCATTTTAGGGAACTTCGTACTAACCGTCGCACTGTTCTCTTCCTGAGCGCCTCTAAAGTAAGTCAAAAACCATTACTAGATGATCCTAGTGTGGTACTGTCACTCTGAATCACCTGTGGCAACGGGTCGCGGAAAATAGAGCTCCCAATGAAAAGGATGTAAGCACATTACACAGATATTGCATATTACACTAATTACACACAATACAAATACATTTTATGTTGTTATTGATGTGTTTGGCATTGCCCATATTGAACACATGAAGTGCGCGTTCGGAGGACATAATGATAGAGACAGGGCCACTATGACAGTGAATAACATGTCGTTTCTTACGCTATGTGGGACAGATTCAGCCACCCTTTAATCAAGAGATTTCCTACATTTCGAACATTTAGACTGAGAAAGTATTTTGTTGAACGCGGATTCAAGAATGTTGAAAAAATTAATGTGGTCACCTCTATGACCTTGATTAATACACAATTCAGCCTGAAAATAGCTTTATAATAGCAGGGCAAATGATTGCAATTGATAATCATCACTTCTAGCTTGAGATTCTCCGAAATGTCACAGTGCAAAGCCAGAGGCTGCATGTACGGACGACCCTTCCCCCAAATTTGCGCCAGCCAACTCTGCGTCTCTACCTGCTTCGGGGGATCCCCTCGAGTGTAGCATACGGCCGCTCTGGGGGACGTCCCCCTGGGGTGTCTTCCCCTAGAGGGGACCCCTCCCCTCGAGGGTGAGTATAGCATACGGGCCCCCGAGTTCCCAAAGCTAGCGGTGAGTTTGTTTTCTTATCATTTGATTGCTAACTATTTTGATTGTTTGATTGTTTTTGTTAAGTTTGATTTTGTTTTGTTGAGTTTGGTTTTGTTGTGAGGAAATTGCTCAGGAATTCAGTTTCTACGGTTTCATAGGTAGCTTTTGCAATGGATTCTTTTCTAGATTTTGCGGATTAGTGGATTGGGATTTATCTAGACCAGATGAGGAGGGTTGGTGGGCGAAGTGTCTTGAAGTTTTTTGTGAGGAAGGAGGAAAAAGTTTCAGCAATATTTTTTTTAGTTTTTGGCCTAGGAATAGTTCGATAGTGCCTAGTTCTATTTATTGTCATCTACATCGTCCCTTTTGAGCTTCTTTTTACTTGTACCGTGTATCACCGCTCTCTCCACTTCAACATGGGCCATGCGTTTACGACCCCCCCCCTCCATCGCGGGCAAATACGACCCCCCTGTTGTGATGATCACAAAGATGGCGTGCCCTGTCTGTTTACACACTGTTCATACAGCAACTCGATCGTGTCGGCGGCAGGATGGGTCTGTGGGCGGCGCAATTTTCCCAGTTTTCCACCTACTGTAGTCGCCTGCCTGCTTCAACACTTGATAGGGAACGGGTTAGTGCGCTCCCTGCAACGCCCTAGCATAAGAAGAGAACAAGACGTAGCTGGCTCAAAACACTACGAAGTTCCAACCTAAATATCAACAAAATCGTAGTCATAGAATGGCCGACAACTATTGATTGCTTCTCGCTCTGTCATCGGGAACCTCCCAGCTAAATCCGAAAATTAGGCGCACGATTGGAGCTTTTTATGAAAATCAAAAGTGACTCACCGCTATGAGCACTTTGAAAACATGCAATAAGGGGCCAGCTTCGTAGTATCGCGCGAGTGCAGCGACCTGCGATCGGACGAACCACGGTCCTAACCGACACGAAGGATGTACATAAATACGAGGCAACCAAACATCACCTAAAAATGCCCACATTGCAATCTTGCGAGGATATTGGCAACAGGATCAGTCTCACTTTTCAACCAATATTCAGGCACAAATGTTTTATCAGTTGATTTCCTCTCCTGGAATATATTACCCGGTTTGGATGAATATTCGTTCTTGAGGATGTCAAAGCGGACACCTAAAAATGTCACAATATTTGGTACATAATTTTTATAATGAGTAAGTAATGAAAATCTACCTTCACTTCTCAAAGAAGGAAGTGACAAAAATGGTGCTTCTGCAACGAAAGGGATATCATGCTTGGAGGCGAAACCACATGGGAAGATGGACGCACTTCTTCCATACATTAAAAAATAATAAGGTCAGATAAGAACTCCTAATTAATAGCGAGAGCGCAACTTAAGCAAACCGGAATAAGATATTAAGAGCTAGAAACTCTGAAGCAGCGTTTCGGCCGCGTTCATACTTGGCCAGTGAGAATTTCGGCAATTTGGGAGACTCGGCGGTTAGGGAGCACCGGCGATTTGAGAGGCTGCGCGATGTGTAAAGCATAGCTGTCGATGGGGATTGCACAGATCAAGCAGTGTGACAATGAGAGAGTCGGAGATCTCACAGAAAGCCGTATCCCTCTATCATCGCAGTCGCATCATGTCGTAATTCCCAAAGTTCCCGAATCTCCCAAATCGCCAAATCTCTCCAGTCGCAAAGTATAAACGACCCATCTCTTGCACTCAGTGAATATGCCAATATCCTTATGCTACCTACCCGATTGGAAACATTAATGGAGGATTAGGTGTGGTATCACAACTCAGCTCTATAAGAACGAGATTACGCACTGCACGATGAATAAGTGCAGCATACATCACTCCTTGACGGTAACAAAACACCTTAAAAGGAATTCACTATTAATTACGGTCTTCAGCATGGAGAGCTAAAACTAACCTCAACGTGTCTCATAGGGGTGATCTTCATATCTCTGCTGACCAGTGGTTCGAAATTCACCTCACTTGTTGATATCTTGAAATGCAAAGCAACATAAAATATAAAAAAGCTTTCAACATTCTCCATTACCCCAGGAATTCCCCAGTGAGCAGCATACGTCTTCCAGCTCCAACCTTCTTCAGGTGCTCTCCCCTTTGACAGGGCTGAACTGCGCGGAATAGACAGCTGGTAACCGATGGAGGCACAAAATCCTTGTGGAAAAACACCAGGAGATCCTCGATAAGCGACAATCTGGAAAAAGATTTACGGACCTCCAGTGGCAAACACTATATAAGTGAGATCCCGCTTGCGGGCCATTAGCTACGTTTTGTTTTGAAAGTCGTGCAGAAACAACACAACCCCGCTAGATGTGAAAGGCTCGAATGATTCTGTCTTGGAGAATATTTTCCATAGAACCATCAAAACGAAAAAAGAAGGCTAAGAACAAGAAGGAATTAGTGGTACTATTTGCCCTTTACAGCCGCAGTTTCTAAAGTTCGGGTCGGAGCCTCGATTAGTTTAGAAATCGGTCGCCATGGGTAGTTACCCCTCTAAACGCGTTCGCATCCTCTAGGCACAAATCGCTAAGAATCTGCATCATAAACGCCCGCACCAAAGGACCCCAGATCCCCATTCGCCATTTACTTGTCCCCATCGCCGTTCAACTTCCCGGACACGAATATCACATCGGCGTGAGGTGCCAAGGGAGTTATGGGGGAAACGGGAGTACGTCACAGCGCGGCGTGCTTCTGCTCTTCTGCAAAACTAACCCGAGATAGTGATCCCTTCGTTTATCAAGGCTGAGTCTTAATGAAGGGAAGGATCACTATCACGGGCAATCAGAACGGGGTAGTATCTTATCTCGCCCTGATTCTCTAACTGCCATAGGCCACCGCTTGCCGCGAAACCTCTCAGAGTTAGCGCGCGGGTCACTTGGGTGCTTTGGTGACAGGACTGTGGTGCGAGCGCCAAACTTTTTCGATGTGAAAAACATGTTCCGGGTTGGAGCTCCCATGAGGCAAACTTTTAGCCAAATCTGCCACAGTAGAAAAAAAATTGCGTGAAAAGCTGGTCTCATTTTGGAAGATTCGAGCATTAAATAGAAAATAATGCCAATTTAGCTCCCTAGCTTACCTCTCTAGTGTCCTCAGAGCCAAAAGAAGAAGAAACTATTCTAACAAAGCGGCTATTGATGATTTCAGTGACATGACCAGGATAAATTACTGCCCGCTGTTCAGCATCCTGCACTTCTACGAGTGATCCAATCTAAATAGTGATGAAAAATGTACCAACGAAAGCAAAGATTCTGACGACGATGAATGACATTTCAATTGAAATCACCTTGAAGAAGTGTTCTTTCAATTCTACCCTCTTGAAAACTATTTCGGGGATAGCGTTCTCGGTGAACTTCTTTATCGCCTCCGCGCTATACTTTCCTGGGCAGTACGCGACCTGAAATAAGGTTGGGTGAAGGTGCTTACCACTAAATGTAAAAGAAGTACACCATAGAATCATAAGTTTCAGGATATTTAGATCAGAAGGATTGCCTTCACGGTGCTTTACTGTAAACATACACCCCATATCCCGAAAAAAGTGGATGTGACCGCGTACTTCGCTTTAGCGAGCTGCCACCCGCGCTCGCTAAAGTGAGGTACGCGGTCACATCCACTTGATGGGATAGTGTCGTTCTGGGACAAACGTGTTGCCTTTGTTCAGCACAAGATAAGATGGTAGTTGTCTCCAATGTATCTGTCTCTTATCGCAATCTCTCAAAAAACGCATCCTAGACCGTGCTCGAACGAATTACGTAGCCAAGCTCCTCCATCTTTATGATATATGTGAACGATTCTGGATTCTACTTGGAGAACAGTCAACACCAACCGAGTCGTCCTGATGTCGAGAAGCCCATCCCATAGCGTGACACCGTGGATCAGTTATGTTGATGGTCATGACCTATGAAAAAAGAACTCTACTTCAAGTAGACCGAAAGAGGTGGCGAAACAGAAACTCCAAGCAAACGAACTCCAGTATAAACTCACGTAATCGAGAGCTTCGTAAACAACTATCCCGCCGTAGTTTGCCAACACTCTACAGCAGAATACGCATCGAGGTTCTGCAGCATCTTGGATTTCAAAGTACTGATTCTCCTAGAAGATATATAATAGAGCTCCAGAGATGGACTTTACAGATACGCTGTACGCTTACCTGCAAGATGGATTTTTGTCATGTGCGAGGCGAATGGTCTGCAGCTGTAGAAGTGCACCATTCTCAACACTCGAAAATGCGTGGAGAAAAAGCTGGTGGACCGTGTCAGCTGGACGCCTTTAGAGCTTTACCAGCTATTCACAACGCACTTGCGTCAACAGTAAAGTCTCACAGCGAAAATGTTGGCAATCTGTCGAAAGTACGCCAGAAAGCGCAGATAATGGCACGTTTCATGCCTGCGTGTTTTGCAGGAAGGTAGGGTCAAAAACGGCATCCAGCTATCACATCCCATCAACTTCATTTCCGCGCGTTTTCTAGAGTTGGAAATAGCACATTCTTGCGGACAAGTTCACCACGCACACGGGCAAAGATCAGGATCGAAGGGGAGCGAACAACGCATTTTTGAAAGAAAACAAAACAACTTAAAGTATTAAAAAACAGAAACTGAGACTATGCGGGCACATTCAAGCTCTTGCAATTTGCTGCAAAAATAATGAGAAAGAAAGCTCTGGTTAGGTATCGTCGGTTTGAACGCTACATCAGTGAATTCCAAAAAAAGGAATTACATATGTTTCGATCTCCTTTAGGCAATTAGTATGATATAAGCAGGAAATACAGAAATTTCATTCATTTCTTCATATCATAACAATGCCCCCATAGAACATAGGAAATCATGCAAAGAAAGTGTGCGTTTTAAGTGTCACTTTGAAAAATTAAGGGGAAAAACGGAAAGCAATGCAGCAAATGAACATAATGTTGTGGTGGACAAGATAAGAGAGGAAAGTAGGAGAGGAGCCGGCTCTACGATAAGCTCTCCTTGCCAAGTGGCTCTTTTCATGGCCATTAAAGGCAGTTGGCACGATGGTTTCCTACTTAGCCTAAAATGCTAGTAGGGCGCTGTATAGTGGGGAAATGGCGAAAGAACGGAGTGAAACGGTCAAAATCCTGCGAAGAAAAAGCCTCCGTTCTCAGTGACTTGTAAATCGATTTCGGACGAGTTTCCCGTAGGCATCTTACCAATCACCGCTACCGAAGATACGGCTGCATATGTGTACCCATATATGCATGCAGCATCACGGCCGCTTCATACCAATCCCTTCGCTTCATAATTTGCTTAGCAAATGAATGAATACGAGCGTCAGGAACGGTCGTCCATTTGTGGGCGGGCGGGCGTTTGGGACGTAATGTTGTGGCTTGATAGGGCCCTTATAAGGGCACCTTCCTCGGGGAAACCGCTATGCAGCGCCTGCCCAGGGTCGCGGAATTCTATCCTGCCAGGAGTATTGATCCTAGTCGTCTTGGGGATTTATCGTGCCAACTGCCTTTAAGGGCCACACCGTTACTTCGTGCATAGGAGCGTTCTAAAGTAATAACGGGGCCCCGCATAAGCTGATTGCAACTCTTTGCAGCAAATCTTATAATCGTTGTGTAATCCATCTGGGACCATTTTTGGTCGCCGGGTAAGGAATTGTATTTGACCTTGACAAGACACTTAACTGCTGAATTCCTCCGTTTCAGTCCCTTTCCACTATTCGACGGGTATTATGGAGTGAAGTGGTATTGGGAGGAACTTTGCAGTTCATGAAATTCCTTCTATGTGTAAATTAAGAATAGAAGCAAATGAATGTTTCAAACCTTGATCAAGTCATTCAGTCGGCAGTCAAGAACATCTCTATATTTGGAAATTGGCTCAACATCCAAAAAATCCCATTTTCGTCGTTTATCCTTTTCTTCAGCGAGGACCCTAAGAGTAGCATTTCTAAAAGCTGCACAGTACAATAAGACTGAACGAGAAACCTTTTTATAGAGCGCTCCACTTCCTTCGCATTAGCTACTACATCAATGATGGCTATTTCACCGTCACAGTCTTCTCTTTTATCTCTTTCATCCGTGGTTAAATAATTGATCATCAGTCGCCCTTTACAACAAAGCTAAAAGTAATCGACATGTAAATTCTAGACCCTTGAAAAATTCGGCGCAGTTCAGCTGGGGGGGGGAGTGGGTGTGGATTTTGCACTTTCGCTGCTTCCCACATGGCTTTACAGGAGTCGACAAGCATTCTTCACAAGAGCTGACACTTATTGTCTATAAATCTCGACCGGAATCGCTTCATAGCCCCAGGATTTCACAAATTTCTACCCTGGTCGACATCGCCTAGACAATGGGAAGCACAGATAGTGCAAGATGACCTCCCCCCCGCTTAGCCGAAACGCGCTAAAAAATTTCCTTACCTCTATTCTGGCTACACATTCATTATCGTTTTCAGATTTCACGAAAATGTGCTTCCCATGCTCGAAAAGACGCTCCGCTACGGTTTGTTCCAGATACCGGACATGACCAAATAAAATCTCGTCTGTGCATGGATTCGTTCCTGTGGCCTACAAGCAAAACTACTCTAACATCATACGCGGGTGCTGTTCGGCTTCGGAGGGGCATTGTCTCACTTCTGCTCGTTCATGTCAATCAACAGGTTGCACTTCGGTGGAGCTTGTAGTACTCCTGTGAACTGCGAAGTGGCATAAGTGAGCCATTTTTGCCACAGAAATTTACAGCCCCTTCACAAGGTGGCCTAAACAAGCTTCACCAAGAACTATTCGATACCCTCACCAAGCCGAACGGCGCATAAAAACCAATCTATGAAATCCAAATAGCAAAAATAAGTTTTAGAAGAGCCTATGTCTGGAGTTCTCGCAGTTTTGGCATCATTAATACCCTTCCCGCATAAATTCAAGCCTTTACGATTAGGTCTGAAGGTCTTGGTCAACACGCGGCCTACATGAAGGCCGCTGAGTTCAAGGTTCTCATGATGGCAAACTCGCCAGTCAAGCTGGCACAGATCGGCTTGGTGATGGCACTGAATGGTAATGGCACACATAAGCTTTTACAGACAACCCTCTTAACTTTATAAGAATTGTCTGTAAAAGCTTATGTGTGCCATTACCATTCAGTGCCATCACCAAGCCGATCTGTGCCAGCTTGACTGGCGAGTTTGCCATCATGAGAACCTTGAACTCAGCGGCCTTCATGTAGGCCGCGGGTTGACCAAGACCTTCAGACCTAATCGTAAATACTATATATAAAAAATTATTAAAATCTTATTATTAATCTTATCTTAACCAATCAAAATACTATATATAAAAATTATTAAAATCTTATTATTTATAAATTCCTGTAACTAGAGCGGTTTTTTCGTACCGACTCGCACCTTCACAGAAGGAGAAGAGACTAACAGTATGAACTATCAGAGATGAAAATGCCCCTCCAAGCCGAACAGCACCCATAAACCTCATAAAGCCGTGCAATCTTATGAGGTTGAAGATATGCGACAATGGTGACAACACAGAAAACATTACAGCACTTACAATGAAATAGCTCTGCCAACTGAAGGATTCCGGCTTCGTGGGATTGAGTATTTTATCATACTCCAGACGAGGCTGTAACGATGAACTGTAGTAAACTCTAGTTCGCTGCGGACGGTTGGGCGTGTCAGGCAGTATGAGTGTGTTAAAGCCGTTCTCTGCCTTCTTGTTGAAGCGCGCATGCGACAAAAAGTGGTAGAAAACGAGTAATACGAACGATATGATACAGTCATATCATTTGCTCGCTTTAACAACTGGTGGAGAACGGGTTTGGCACCGCGCCAAACTCATCCCGCCTGACACGCCCAACCGCCCCCAGCGAACTACATTACACGTGCTTATCACAGAGCAAATCTCAAGCACCTTCTTTTCAGTTTCACCACATTTGTCAATACCCAAAGAAATTACGGACTTCCATGCTCCTGTTGAACGCATTGAAGGCATAGTCCGCACCCTTACGGAATTATTCTATGGGTTATTCAGTAGGGCAAAAGCGGACCACCGAAACTCTGTGGGACTACTACGCAGTGTTACTAATACACTGAAGCAAAGGATAAACCAGGACAACCTTTGCCCACGTTTCTTTGAAAATTTACAGCACTGAACTTCAGCGCTAAAGCTGGGTCATCCTTTTCCAGCTTCATTTGCTGACAAGCGTTCCAAAATCGCCCTCCACTCTTGCCTACTGCAGAATGTTTAGGCCTCATCACAAGAATGCTGAGTTATGCCCATAAGTCAGTCCCAGGTGGGACTCGAACCCGCATTCCCCGCTGACCAGGCGAATGTACTATCCATTACGCCGCGGCGCCGCTCATACTTTCTTAGCCAAATGGCTTCCGTGCCTTATCGCGAGGCTGAAGGGTTTTTACAGGTTTCACGCTGCTTTGCTCTGATATTAAATGTGTTTAATGCCGCAGCTCGCGCTCCAAAAGTTATCACAGAATGCTGACGTAGGGGCAAAAGTCATTATATGATCTACAAGATTTCTTTAACTCGTTAGTTGTAAAAGCATGTGATTTTTGAGGATAAAGAACGAATTCTATCGTTCTGCGTTTCCAGTGGAGGAGTATGACATAACCCTCCTCCGCTGACGATCAACTAACAGAAACTTATAAGTGGAGGTACACTCCTGTTCGCTGCAAGAGCGGGGGAGTGAAAGGTAGACCGGTTCGGCGCGAGAGAAAGGAAGGACCTCGCTAAGAGCTACAAATTATCCTTATTGCCATTTCGTGCCCCATCTACACCGAAGGAAGTTTATATAAAGAAAGAAAAATTGGTGGAACCTGCCTCAAGTGGAACCCAAACTTCAAAAAAAAGAGAGATTGAAGCTTCCTCTCAAAAGAATAGATTGATCAAGACAGCGCTGAAAATCTCAAGCCACTTTAATGAACCCCTATAAAACGTACCGTGACTGTTGACCAGTCTGGCATTTTCGGGGTGAGAACCCTTTAGCCGAGTAGATTTGTCTGAAAATTGCCTTGACCTGATTGTAAGAGTGTGCTATGTATGCATTTGATGCGAGCGATACTTCACGAAAATACAACACACCAGAGACAAACAAATCGAACAAATTTCGAATATTTATTACAATCATACCGTTACTTTCATAGCGGTACATACATAATCAAGAGGATAGGGCTAAATTTTGGCATATATCACAGGTTCAATTGCCGAAAACACAAATCTGCATAGTAGTATCGATTTGAGCTAAGATTTTGACGAAAGAAATTGTGAACGAGACGGTTAAGACTAGCTTGCACCTACGGCGTAGATCTACAAGAGTCTGTTGAAGATCTAGAAAGGCAAAAACAAAGTTAAAATTGAAATGTTGACACTTGTGTCCTCAACAGAAATACCAAGACGTCAAACAACACCCCGACCAACGAATTAGAAAGTGAGCACTAAAAAGTAGTAATATGAACAGCCCCAAATCAATTTGAAAAGCAAACCTTTAAAACGGGGAAAAAATTGATGCCGCTGCAGAACAAGTTCGTTGATTCAAATTATTAAATAGTTTCGAATAGTAAGCAACATGCCTCAACCAAACTATTCACAGTCTTCTCCGTTGCAAATGATGGGGCGTGCCCGGAGGGATGGGTTGGCGCGGGGCCAAAGCCGTTTTTTTTTGTTGTTGGAACGAACAAGCGATATGACTGCATAACTTCACCTATCAGTTGTTTTCCACCAATTATTGTTGCTTACCCGCTTCACAGTTGGTGGAAAATGGATCTGGCACCCTGCCAAACCCAGTCACACAGACCCGCCCCATCATTCGCAGCGAACAAGGCTATGGAACTGCCTCAATCAGTCGCATAAACATCAAATCAAGGATACCTCGTGATGCCACCGACAAGGTCGGATAATAAGAAGCAAATATATAGACGCTTGATTACTGAGCTTAACTCTATATGGAAAAGGAGCATTGAGCTTCGATAACAGTCAAAAACTTTCAGTGTACTTTGGTAATAGTAGTACTGTGGTTAATGACTGTATATTTCTTTAAGACGATCACAATGAGGCATTGGCATCTGATTCGCTCGTCGGAGCAACTCCTCGTCGCGCTGCCATCGGGCACGATACATCAGGGTTTCACCTGAAAACCATCGAAATAGTGGCAATCCAGATTATAAGAAGAGGAAAGAAAGGCCCAACGCTCGAGACTCTTAGGCGTTCTCCTTGTAGAAGCAGTTTGGCCCCAAGTCTCTAAGACTGTACCATTTTTGCAACTTCGCTGGAAGCAGCGGTCCTCATAGGTGGCAGCTGTGACGCCTCCCTAATTGCCCCGCCCATCGAAAACTCAAAAGGACTTTTCTGTAGAAAACTTTTTTGTCACGAGTTCAGTTTTCATACCGTGTTTTCCGTTGTTTTTTCATTGCCCCATTTTTTAGCGATGGATGAAGCGAGGAAACATTCAGCGGCCCGAGGTGGCAGAATATTCATTGCTGACATAGAGCGAGCAGGGCTGAGAATTCGGCACCATGGAGACTCCTGGTGGCCTTCACTCAGAATTACACAATCCAATCGGCCCTACCCCTTCAATTTTTTCTTTACAAAAAATTCCATAATATTGAAAACGCAGGAAAAAAAGTATATAAATGAATACATTGAACGTGTAGTTCACTCAAAATCCCACATTATAGCAAACTCACGTGATCTGTTCCTCTATAAATTCATTCGCAATCCCTGAATGTACTCGTCCTCCGGATCTTTGGGCTTCCAAATCTGTAATAAAAGTAATTTCGAACAACATATGAATATATTGGATCACAAAATCTATAAGCCGAATTATACCAATGATATATACCTTGCCAGATTGGAGTGTATAAAAAAAGCTGATGCATTAACCTCATTGCATCTACCCGCTGACTCCTTAGTCGGTAATGCTAAGGAAACGCTTGAGTGAACATGAAAGAAATGAGCTACTCTAACAAATGAAATGTCAGGGTTACTCGTAAGGCAAAAAGAGGTTCTACTACTGCTACACCGATTCGAGGCACTTATTCAATCCGATATACTAGAAATATCTGCATTTTAATGTCTCAGATAAGTTAAGGTTGTCATATCTACATGCCAGGTTTGATATTGAAACTCCAGAACATACAAAACAAGCGCGGCAAAAAGAGTATGAAAAGAGGCCAGGAGGAAAAGCTATGAACCGCAAGCAGTATACGCTATCTTACCGAAATGGTTGGACATATCCGTAATTACGTGAGAGGAGCGACCCTTTGCTGCCCAGGGTAGGCAGGTTCGGCGTCACAGAAGTGCACCATTTTCGCTACCACTAAAAGCGCAGCAAGGGACTAGCAGTTTGCAATAACTTGATGTTATCGTTGGTTCCCGCCTAGGATCCGACGCAACCGCCACGTAAATTGCGCTATTTGCCTGCGCACTTCGGTGGTCTTATCTGAGAGCGTGGAAGCCTGTTTTTAGGTGATCTAGGTATACAGCACGAATGAACCCCATATGGTGAACTTAGACGTTCAAGCAATCTCCTGGAAGGAGGAGTGGGAGGGGGGGGGAAGGCTTTCCTCTCAAGCAGTCAACAGCGGCTATGTCATTACCTAGCAGAAATCACGGAAATGTGTATAAGGCGCTTATTTATGAAATGCTTTCTAATGAGAAGTATTCTTTGCGCTACACATTTTTTATGCTTGAAATTGTATGCTTCACAAAATACGTTGATAACTACTTCCGAGTTATCGCAAACGCAAACTAGAGGGCACAGACGAGATATGGCATGGCCGCATGGCGTACCGAACTGTGGCCATGTGATCACAGCAAGCATTCATAACCTCCAACCCCTCCTGCTGGGCATTTCTAAATGGCGAAAGTAATACAGTTCCACGGGTTTCTGGAGCTGAGCGGCATAAATGGTAGCGGTGACCGTGTGCTCTTACAAGCTCGTTGTGCAGTATTGCCCTCGCGTCCCGGAAGCATCACAGGAGAGCCTTCTCGAAATACATGCCCGCTTTGGACTGCTAGGATTCGTCTTCTCCTTTAGTGAGACACACGGTACTTGTGGATTGTAATCACAGAGGACCCATCTCTCATCTCCACTGAGCAGTCTCCTAAAAACTCCTTTTGACGAGGGCGGAGAAGGGGAGACCGATCAAGGGGTACCACTGATGCAAGTGCCATCCGACATGGTATGAGTGATCCATCGAACCAATATTTTTCGACAGCCAAGAGCTCACAGGCGGTTGACAACTGTCAGTTAGGTACACCCAAGTCTTGTTGCAAGACTGCAGCTAGTGGCCTCCGGATCCTCACTGATAGCTTCGAGAACGGCGGAGTCGTCCCTACGTGGGGCCTTCCTCACCGAGGTTTACCTTCGAGGATCGTGTCTCCTTTCGCAAAGCGAGCGAACCAGTGATGGACAGTCCTGATGGTAGTGGTGTCCTCCCCCAATGCACTGTTGATGTTGCGCAGAGCTGCGTTACTGCAGTGCCGTGACGCCACTCATAGAAGATGATGCTCCTGTGAAATTGACATCGTAATTAAACCCAGGGAAGAGCAGGATGCCTTTATATGCCTCTTCACGGAAAAGCTCCGAGAATGTTCTACAAGCATAGCATGTTACGTCATGTTCGAGCATCAAGAATCAAAAGCTGTAAGCTATTCAAAAAACACTGACAGGACTTTCTTTCCAACCTAATATAATTCTGTAAGGTGCGAGCTTTTTATCTCTGATCATCTCCTTCCGCATGTCTTCTTCGTTTTGTCGACCCTAGCTCATTGATGAGCCTCGAGGTTGACCAAATAACGATGGTTCATGTGAGGAAGATGCAAAACGGACCATCTGTGTTTTGAAGTGTTTTGTTATACCAATGATTTGCTTCTTATTTTTTTTCTAATGTAGCATCTTAATTAATTATTAATTTAACTGGACTACCTCACAGATGTGGGGATGCACCCTTAAGGACAATATTTTTGAACCGAACAAGAAAGTAATTTAATGGCAGTCACAGAAATCATATGGCTGTACCTGATGAATTCTTCCACGATATGCTTGTTCAAAATCACTTCGCACGAAATAAGGCACCCTCAAATCACTCTGTGTTAGCCGTTTGACGGGGTATTTGCTGAAATTACAAAAGATTAACAATCAGCACGAAAGCTATACGTGTTAAGCACATTAGGATATCAATAGTATGAAAAAGACCTCGAATGATGCAAAGAATAGCCGGATCGCCAACATAACGGTGCAAGAAGGCCAAATGACCGAGCTAATCGCCCAATCAGCGGAAGAAGTGTGTAACAACAGGCGGTGTAAGTGGACTCTTCGACCAGTCTCATTAGAAATTGATGAAAACCAATGCTGTTAAAGAACAGTCACTGACGGAAGTTGACACATTGCAGAAACTGACTTCATTTGCTTACGCGGTCCTGTGACTATGAGAAGTGTGGTGAAAATGTCGTCCTCTTCTCACCGATTCCGATGGAAAACCGCCACCAAAGAACATGTTGAATATTTCTTCAGGCGAGAAATCAGCTAAAAGTTTGTAATAGAGTAAACAAAAAAGCACAAGGAAATAAACATTCGATGAAAAAGGTTAAAGACCGGTGAAGAGAAAAATCCTACCATCAAACCCGTGAGCGTAATCGTACTCGAAGAAGTCCCCTCTGGGTCCTCTGCTTACATTGTTTCCATTATCAGATGTGCCATACATATCATATTGTTTTCGCTTCTCTTCATTAGACAGCACTGCATAAGCATTGCCCAGTGCTGAAGAAAAATGAGGCTTAAACATACTGTGCATTCCACACCTTAGAGAGAACAATGAACAGTTACAATGAATAGAGACTGCTTTAGTAAACCATATGGCCCTCATCGAATTAAGACAGTCATTTTAGTACAGTAGTTCGTCTAATTACGGTGATCCCAATTTTGGTATTCCCACGATATTTTGCTCTGAGACCAGGGTACAGCGTCGTGATGTGTGAAATGGTGGTGTCAGTACGAACGCTTTCTCGAAGGAGGGTTCGGTACGACTTACCCCTCCCCACTGAAACGAGGGTCTCGGAACAAGCCCCCCCCCCTTCCCGCCCAACACGTACCTACCACTTTCCCACATTTTTTCAGTTTCTTCAAAACAACACTCACCCCCAGACCCAGACATCTCCGGCAGCGCGGGGCGAGGGGGGAGTGTAAGTACACAGATACACGGAAATAAATTCAAAAATCAACACACCTGAAGATTTACTCCCAACGCAGGCACAAACTTCTCCTAAAGCCACATCCGAACTCCCTCCCCTCTCCCAGCAACGACCAAATACGACCCACTCCCCAGCGGAAAATTACGACCTCCTATGGGTTTCACACAGCGATGCTGTACCCACTGCGACTACATTTTTACGTATTTTCCAATCTTCTTCACGTTTTAAGCCATTTAATGTTGGAAGATGTGGGCAGAAACGGTCATGGCCATATCCATTTATTGCAGGTTATGGGCACTCTATGCGACTCTCTTATGTATGGAGCATGGGGTCCTTCTTGTGCCCGCTGTTAGGCTCGCAAGTAGCAGGACCGGTCAGGAGCGTAGGAGACTATCTTGGTAAAAGAGTGTGGTGTGCATCCGCCTTTACGATCTGCGCTTTACCAATAAGCCTAGGCTTCAATTAGGAGAAAAGATACAAAGGAGCAGTGGATTATCCCCCTCCCCCTCCTTCTCCCAAAGGGAAAAAAACGTTAGCGCGCCAACCCATTGTGGAATCCGGAGGTGAAGATTTTTCTGTCTATGTTTTGGATGGAATAACTTTCAATCGGGATGAGGCCTGAGCACCTCAACCCATGCAGACTTCCTTGCTCTCTAAGCTTCCAGCAAAAGGGGTTTTCCTACCGTGATACTAAAAGAGAAATATTTGTAATGTTGTGGAATTTTTGTGGCTCTGCATCAAAACGAATACAGCCTACTTCGCTCTGGATGATGGGGTGTGCTCAAAGGCGACTATGTGGGCGGCGATGCCCGCCAATCTTTTTTTCTTCTCTGCGGTAAAACGACAAGGCTGTATCATATTGTTGTATTAGGTTGTCCGGAAAGTTCTTAGCGTTTTGGGTGTTTAACTTTAAACGATCATAACTTTCTTAACACTCATCGGATTTAATCCAAATAAGCACCATTCGAATCAGCACACTTTTGCCAATGTGGCAGCAGTCGAGAAATCCCATCAAAGAAAAACTGGCGTGCGTTCGAGAATCTTCAAAGAATTCACGAAATCTGCGAAGGTCTTTTTTGCCTGGTCTTAATTGATGAAGTATTTTTCAGCAAGGAAGTTCTGAAAATGTCTGAAAAGGTGACAGTCGGTTGGTGAAAGGTCTAGAGAATATGGTGGGTGAGGTAGAACTTCAACTCCCAATTCGTTCAATTTATGGATAGTGATTTGTGAAACGTGTGGGCGGGCGTTGTCATGCAAAGGAATCGGACCCTTTCTTTGATAAGTGTTGGCTGCAGCTGACATAACTTTTCCCGGTACATTTGGGTCGCGTTTGTTCACATGTTAGTGGTCTGCGGTGATGTTGGCCTCGGTGACTGAAAAGTGTTATAGCTGGGAGGTTACAACAGCGATGACCAGCCAAACCTGAACCAAATTTTGTTTTCGCGATGGTGTCGGCTTTTGAAAATTACCTCGTGTGGTTCTGTCCAAATCAAACCACCTTCTGTCCCGGAACGTCTCCTGTTATCATACATGATCCATTTTTCATCACAGGTGACAAATCCGTTCAAAAACGGGTCAATTCTTTTGCGCAAAAGCAGTGAAGAAGGAACCTCGAGACGTGCCGATTCCTGCCGGTCACTCCGATTGTGGGGCACCCAATTGTTCGCAGCTTTTTTCATCCTTCCCAATGCGTTCCAGACCATCTGCAACAGTGGATTTGCCAAGGCCTAGCTCTTCTGCTATCTCTCGAACTGTTTGGGATGGGTCAACCTTCAAAATCCCCCTAAAATCCTCGTCAGATATTGCTTTAGGTCGACCGCTATGAGGCTCACCTTCAAGGCTGAAATCTCCAGAGCGAAATTTATTGAGCCATTGCCGCACAGTGCTTTCTTTAGCACTATTGGGCCCCCACACCTGGTTAATTTGTTGAGCTGTTTCGATTGCGGATTGCCCCAATTTATAGCCGAAGAAAAAAATCGTCCGAAGTGCTCTTTTCACATGCTTGAAAAAAATCTTGAAAAAAGAGGGTTTATCAAGCAATGGTGAAACGGCAATTATACCATCAGATAGCGCAAGAAATTCTCTACAGGATGTGCTACTGAGAAGCAAGGCAGAATGAGTTTTTAATCAGCAGTGAATGTACAAAGATTAGGTGCACAAAACGCTAAGAACTTTCCGGACAACCTAATATATACCCCCTTCCCAACAGAAGTTAGTAATGAATCGCGCGTAGGCAGAAGCCGCCAAACCACGACAAAAAAATTGTTATGCTCCTCATTCACAGCGAAAAGAAACTGTATTCTTACTGGACAAACGCCAAACATGTGATATTTATGATTAGCAACCACACAATCTCACCTTTGAATGCCTCTGTAGAATGTGGTGCCCTACATTTATCCGGATGCAGCTGAAGTGCCATTCTTCTATATTCCTTCTTTATTTCAGCGTCAGACGCAGTTTTTGACACCTGAGAACAGAAAAAAAATATATAAAGTACAGGGCACTAGAAACCCCTTACTGCCCCACACGTCGAGCCAGATGGTGACCTAAATTTTCCTCGGGTGGTAGATTTGGCTACAGTTTTGCTCCTGTTGGTAATTCGACCACTGAACACGGATATCAGATCCGCTTAGCGCGGAAACGCTTAACGCCGGCGCCTCATCAAAGTTTATTGAAATTTAAATCCAGCGGCAGTTTTCACCCAAACAATGAAAGTCACGCCCGACTGAAGGACGAACGCCCGACCATGGGCTACGGGTGCTAGTGTCAAGCCTTTGCGCGCTGAACGGATGCAGTGTTCGCGCCGCTCAAAGGCCTCTAACCATGTCGCAACAAAAATTTATGCAGGGTCTACATATGAAAAGTTTTCAATCGAAAAACATGCTCGATTGTGGAGCAGCTTTAGGCCGGTAAATTGCTTGAAAACTACGAGAAGGAAAAAGTAAAACAATGCGACTCCTACTAACATTTAAGATTTCGCGTCCAACCGTATCGTCTTCCCCTACAATGCGCGATTCATCGCTTCTCAACCGAGGTCAGCTTGCCTAGAAAAAAATATCCATCGCATTACTCAACACAGAAACATCAAAAACAATAGAAACTCGAGCCTGTCCTAACCAACAAACTCACTTCCTCCTCCTCGTCGTGTAATCGACACCTAATTTGGGAGTTCGTGATGGTGACCGAGGCTTTGCTTTACTGGAACTTCCGGCATTTCCGTTTATTTTACTTTCAGAATCTTCAAGTAATATTTTTAGAATAGTCAATGTAGAAAGAGAACAGGAGAATTTGTGTGACAATTACCTGAACGTTAGGTCCACGCCGCTCTCGAAGAGAGATTACGAGCTTTGCCGGGCTTCGGAGATCGAGGCTCTCATAGCTGATCACTCGTGCTGTGTGCGTAACTGCGTTCTTCAGAATCTCGTGACGATGACTCACTATTCGCGCCCATTGAGTCCGCCTTCTTCAAAAGGACTGAAAACACACTCGGTAAATAAAGGATCGTAAGCACAGAAAAACTGGGAGGAATTTTGCCCACCACCAATTGCGGGCCGTGAGCCGGAGGACGGGAACTCGATTGACGCAGTGGTCTTCTTCTACTTACACATTTTTTGATATAAATCAGACACTTTCCAAATTCAAATCGGACACTTTCGAACTAAATCGGACACATTCTTCCACCCATTAGCTGATTACCCAGATCAAGAAGACACCACTGCAAGTCACGCTCCGAAAGCTACGCCCACTTTTGCACCATGTTGTTTCGATCCTTTTTCGAACTTTTACTTAAACTCACGGGCATCCCGGAGCCAAGTGAGAACCCCGCCTTCCTGTAGAAGCCCCTCCCACTTTTATAAAATGCCCCAGATTAACAGGAACAGTCTCAACTCGCATTTCTCAGTATCGCTCGTCCGAGTGAATCGATATTTCCTTCGCTGTCGAACTGCGGGGCCATTTGCCCAAAGGTGGCCTATCTTATGCAAGGTGGATGAAGCTCTCCTCACTGGGCAATGCGAAATTTTTCTAAAAGCGACCAAAATCTCCGCACAACACACAAACGTATGGCGTGACTGTCAAGGGTATTGTGGCTGCCACTAGGCATCTAGTTGATCTGCTCAGTCAACTGTTCGGCTTTGAAGATTGGAAATCGATTATAGTTGAAAAAAGTGTCACCGACTCCCGACTCTTGAAAGGGTAAGCCAATCTACAATGAAAAAGTCCGATCTTCTGAATTAACAAAGCGTCGCGAATTTGTTTGCAAAAGTCGCACGATTTGGTATGAAAAACGCGAAAATTGAAATGGTATCTTCTTCTTCTTCTTCATTTTCTTCTCCCTAGCGTTAGTCTCGCGCCATCGCAGGGTCCGCCACAAGACATAAAAGTTAGCGTGACTGCCAGGATGGCTTGCAGTAGTATCTAGTTCTGCTCAGTCAATCTGTGATCCGGTGTGAAGATCAATGGTATAACTATTAAAAAAGTTGTACGAGTCGTGAATCTTTACTTGCGCCTGACTCCAACTCTTTTCAGCCTTCTTCAAAGGCCGGAGATGCAACGGGCATTAACTCAGAACCTTTTCACCTCCAGCTAGTATGTGGCGTAACCGAATTCGCTTACTAACTGAAATTGAAGCAGGCCATGAGCTAATGCTCCGCAACATCAGTGGAGTCTAGGGCCTCTGGAAAAAGGAAAAAGTCCAAAATTTGATCTAAACATGTATCTACTTGATGGGTCATAATTATCACATTTTCTGGCAAGAAAGAGAAAAAAAACACGAATTGATGTTGTACCCAGGTTTCAACAATGGACAACGCGGGTTCTGTTGACACTATTTTCTTTGACGTAGAGCGGTCAGGTGGCACACTGCCCTTCAAGAATTATAAAACGATTACTTGCACAAACACACATGTCAAGGAAACAACATAACGTTACTACGGAGGGTAAACAATTCAAAGTGAGTAGTGACAGGTGCGGTTTATAGGTGATGTTTCTGAGCACAGAATACGAAACAGAATAAGGGGTTCGAAAAAATAAAAACATTTTGCCAATGAATTCTTTCTTTCTTGGGTCGCGCACTCCAATTCCATCCAGCCAACAGATGTACGATTCCATTTTTCTTTTTGCCTTTTCTCGACAAGTCGTGTCAACTTATCGACCGCAGGGGGGGAGAGGGGGTCCGGTCGTTCTTAGCGGTAGCTCATCCCAAGATTCGATCCCCTGACCGCGCGGGATGGCGAGTCCATATACCATTAATTTCACACCTCCCAAAAATCAGCTTATGAGAAAGTGAGATTAGGTTACGTCTTGGACGCCACAACAAAAGGACCTCTACAAAAAAGTCACTGAATAAGGACTTACAACTGATCAATATAAGCCAAGCATTCTGTATTTCTACATCGAGACTACTGCCAGGCATTGAAAGGTGTCCTAGGCCGAATAAGAAACGATAATTAATATGGGCTACTAGCCGTCTTTAAACAGGGGGGCTGCATATTACAGTGGGGAAAATGACAAGAAAGCGGAGTTGAACCGACAAAAACCAGCGAAAAAAGCCTCTTAATTTGCTTTACACAACACTGGACAGGTATACGGCCGAGAGAAAGCAATTTCGGACGAGTTTTTCCGGTAACACTGCGCCAACCGCGGCTCCGATAAATACAACTGTATTCATATACCACGCAGCACCGCAGCCACTTCCTTCCAGTTGTACTTCGTGAACGAACAGTAATAGTACCAGTATCGACACGGCGAGGCAAGCGTTTGTGGGCGCGCGAGTCGCGTCGCGTTAGGCGTTGGACGCTACCTTGTCAAGGCGCCTACACGGTGCCACAGGTTTGCCAAAAACGCCACGCAGCGCCTGGTGGGAGGGGTAAAATATTCGTCCCTGCTGAGCGTATTCACCCTGTAGGTCTTATCGATTTATCGTGCCATTTGTCTTCTCCAATTTGTATGTTTCTGTCGTTACTTCTCCCCCTCCCCCCCCCCTTCCCCCCAAACAAATGTTTTGTGGAAAATTCAGCAGTTGAAAAGTGGTGAAGAGCGGTGGAAATGAAGGACGAAAACGAAAGGAGGCGTTCACAGTGTACATGATAGAACATCTATTTGCCATTAAAGACCACTTAATACGAGTTGGGACTAGTTTAGTAAGACGGTTTCCGGGAAAAATGAAAAACAGCTAATCTAATCAATTCATAGAGCACTGAGTAGATGGTATATACAAAGAAGAAAAGGGAAGCAAACGCTAGAAGGAAAAGAGAGGAAGAAACAGAGCTAAATTTCAGTTTTTTATTACCGATGCAGGCGCCCTCCTAATCGAAATTCGAAAAGAATTGGTCATAGTGTTGTCTCAGGAGAAAACTTAACCATTTGAACAAGACCATCACATTCACAATCCCAGCGCTGACAACAGGCGAAGGGGTAGTGGCAAATGGCACGTCGCGCGGTCTGGGGTCAAATCCTGGATCGGCTCTCGCCTAGGCCAAACAAGCCTTCTGCCCTCCGGGGATGGTAAATTGGTACCACACTCGTTCTGC